TGTTGTCATCGGGCACAGTGCTCATGGCGATGTCGACATAAAGATGACTCACCTCTGGCTGGATGAGGGTTGGGTCTTGCCGCTTTTTGATGGTCTCGGTGTCGGTCTTCTCCACCCTCTTCGCCCAGTGCTGGAAGAGGGGAATCCGGCAGAGCTTGGAATACTGGACGTACGGGTGCCAAGGCGTGCGGACGAGTTTCACAGCGAGGTCCTCGGCGACAATGCGGCGGAACATCTGGAGGGTGCGCCAGAAATGCACGGCAGCAACGTCGGCGTCGGACCCCTTCTTCGCGAGTTCTTCCGCCTGCAATTAGACAACAGACGTGGGTAATTACCGTGGTTGAAAGTACAGTGCCATGCGATGCTTGGTCGGTACCGATCGACATACATTCTTAAGGAGCTCGTCGACGCCGGGGAAGATGTGCTCGGCGATGAGCTTGAGAAGCTCGTCCGACGGTTCCACCCTGCTGCGCCCCAAGAAGTAGTCCTGCGTGTAGCCCGAATAGCCGGCCTTCTTCATCACCACGCCGACGGGAATGGCTGTGATGTAGGCTCGAGTCATCTTGTCGAGAGCCCAGTGACCCAGCTCGGCTATCTCGGCGCGAGGCGTACCGTTGATGGCCAGCTCCTGCGCCCCGCCTGCCCGAGCGGCATGGACGTTCCGCTTGCAGAACACCCCGTTCGTCTTCCACATCTGCCTCGTCCATCGCTGGTGGCTGGCAGCGGAGAGTTCGCCCTGCTCGGGGTCGTTGCGGGCGAAGAACAGGTGCTTCTTGTACCAGCGCTCGCGTGTGCTGGTGTCGACCGGCGGAATGAGGTCGACGCCGTGAAACTGGCCGATCTGGTCGAGGATGAAGTGTAGCCACAGTCCGGTCTCGCCGACGGCGCACAATTCCGCTTCGAGGTGCCGCGCGGCGTAGCTCTGCTGAAGACGCGCATCCTTCGACGTCTTCGAGTTCCGCGCGGCGACCACCATGACGACCGGCTGGTTATCCGGGTTTACCGACGAGGTGCTCGCCAGTCGGTACAAGAAGATGTCGGGGAGCGTGATCTCGCGGATGCTTGCACCGCGCATGAGGCTGTGGTGGGAGAGCAGCGTGAGCACCTTGACGAGAAGGAACCTCCACAGCGTCTGCGAGGGAGTGGTGAAATGCGGGCTCCATGCCGACGCCGCCCAAGCCGGCAGCACCCTCGTCATGATCTGGCGGAACTGTTCGGCGGTGTATGTGTCGCCGATGGTGCCGCGTCGACGGTCGGCGCAATTACTGTCGACAGAACAATACGGCGGTAGGATTATTAGGGCGATGGGAACAAATCGTCACCGACTAGGAAACGGAGCTGGATGCCAACTTACTTGATGTCCCTCTGGTTTTTGGTGCGGACCATGACCCGCACCTCCGACCGGACAACCGAGATTTCTCGCATGATGCCCAACTCCTTCTCCTTGTACAGCGTCGCTTCCACCCTCGCCGCCATCTGGCATGCCTTGATGCGGCCGAGGATCATGTGCACCGTGTAGGACGGCACCGGCGCGTTCGTCTCGGCGTCGATCTTGAACTCCCGCCTCATGAACTTGACGTAGGCGCGCAGCCGCGTCGGAGTGACCTTGGGGCCGTGCAGCCAGATGTGCTTCCGTTTGACCACCTTCGGGTTGTCCCAATCCTTGCTCTTGTTGCAGTGGATCCAGTGCCCGATCTCGTCGACGTGCCTAGTTCGTTCCCCGATCGGCAGCTTGTCGCCTATCTCTTTGAGCATCTTCGCGGCCCACCTCTTGTAGTGGTAGATCCATGAGATGTAGGACTGGAGCGTGCTCTTAGCCTCGATGGTTTTCAGGTGGCGCAATGCCTCCATCACGAGCACGTCGACGCACGCGTACACCATATCTTCCTCTACGAAGTCGGCCGCCTTCCACTGTTCTCGAGGGACAGACGCGTTCAGCAGATCCTCTAGCTCGTCCTCGTCCAGAAGTTCCTCAATCAGCGCACGTTCCGACCTGAGCTTTTCTTCCAACGTCTTCGGACCTCTGCCACGTTGGGGCCGCGGGTCGGCGTCGTCGTCCTCGTCGCTCGCCGAGGAATAGTCTTCCATTCCCTCATCCTGGTCGCCCGCTCCGTCCGGCACCGACGACGGCCCGGCCTCCTCTGCATTTGTGGGCGCCGACGTGTCTTTGCGTGGTTTCGTGAACTCCCCTATGGGCGCGGGTGGAACGTCCTTGGTGAACTCTCCCTTCGGGATTTGGGCCAGGGCGTCGAGATCGTAAAGCAGGGGCAGCGTCGACGAGGGGTTACTGTTCGGTGTACGATCTACCGGGCGGACATCCTCACCCTGGCTAGCGGGGTTCGGAACGTCCGTCATGTCGACGTCGGCGGGTGGTGGCTGCGGTTGCGGCGGTGTCGAGCGAGGCTGTGCTCCGGCCATGATACCGCGACCTAGGGTCTCGCGATGGGAAGTCGGTGTGGTGAGGTCGGTGAAATGAAACATGGCGATTCTAAGTCGGCGGTATCTGACAGGTCGGCATCGCAGACAACACTACGAGACGGCGGCCCCGACGTCTGACTATTCTGACGACGCCGACGTTCCACGTCTGCCGACAATCTCCCGATGGAAAAAAAACTAAGGGCGAGCCGTCAAGGGAACGGGGAAAAAATCTAAGTGCCAGCTAACGGATGAAAAGCACAGAGAACGGCAGGCAGAATGAGCGACCTGCAATTGGACCCCAGATTGGTATGGTCGTGAGCGACTCCGCTCCACTTGGCGCTCCACGCAAACCCCTGTGCAGGACGCAGCTATGCATGTACGCTCGTGCGGCGGCGCCGTGACCGACGTGCCACCGGGCGTGCATGGCTGCTTGCTTGAAGCGCTTCGCTCATAATGCGCCTTTCATGGGTGTTACACGCTGGCTCTGTGGTGCGGTACGTGGGGTGGTCCCTGCGCGGTAGTTCGAGGGCGGGAGACACTGCCGCGTGGCACCACGATGAAGACCTTCTGGTCGACGCCGACATTCCCGCCAGTATCCACTGCACCTAGGCAGAGGTAGTGGACGGTCGGATTTCGCCTTGGGCATGTGGGCAACCGTTGGATGATGGCCGTGTGGTACGCACCGACCTGGCAACGCTTGGGCGCGAAGTTTTCCCACGCGAAGCACCCCCACCTTCCGTTGGCCCGTCGTGGCCACCCTGGCTGTCCACGATGGCCCCGCCATCCAGGGGTCGATCTCGGACGTCTCTTTTTTGGCCGCGTGGCGATCATCGCGGCCCCGCGTGCCGAGCTGGGATGACGTCACGCGGCTGAGACGACCTTCTCGGGATTGTCTCAGCGGAACCCAAGGTCGACAGGTCGTCGACAATCCCGAGGGGTCACCAGCACTGGGCCCAGCCAGCTCGCCTGGGCTTTCCACGCGGTGGTCGTCGTGGACAGTACAGAATGACTCCTCCGAGAACAGTACTTCTTCGTCGATTTGCTTTGGCTTGTGTATAGTACAGAATGACTCCTCCGAGTCGGTCCAGAATCAGGAACCACGGAGTCAGTTCTCATGGCTGAGATATTAGCTAAGAGTTCTACAACGTCAGCCACATTTATCATCAGTGTGAGCGCTGTCTGGGGGTCATCGTCCGCCGGTGAGGTGAGAATGAAACATTTTATGGTAAGTGAATGTTTCGTTCCAAGCCTGTCGTCAGCACACGTCATACGCTGGTTTCAATGAGCTGGCTGATTGCACACCTGCCCGCTGAATGAAAATGATGGCTTTGCTCGCAAGCCCAACGGTACAGCATGGCTGGTCTGGTCACTGCTGGTCAGTTGCCATGCCAGCGTGTCAGTCGCCACACCTCTCCTTTCCCCACGGTTGGGTTTCCTAGATTCTTCGTACAAGGAGGGATCCAGCGGTTGGCGCGCATCCTGAACCAGCTCGCCCCCGATTTCCGAGTGCCCAGCGGGAGAAAATCTGGCGCTCGGCGACATCATGCTTCAACGGGCAAGGAGAAGTGGATCAGCCATGACTCATGACTCTGCTGCCGCTATTCAATACTTGTTCGATCAACTGTTCGCGCTTCCACCGACGATTGGATAGAAACTCCGCAACAACCATGACGCAAGCACAGCCATCCATCATCCCCATTTCCCCTCGAAATTTCCCTTTGCCACGCAACCCCAGCAGGTCCCACCCTTGGTCAGGTCTGGGCATCAGAGAGTGGAGATTCTGGCGTTTCCATCCACCCAAACGAACCAGTCGGTTTCCATGCATAGTACAGTAGTAGGATTTATGCATTACCCAGTAAGGTGATCTTTTTTATTGCCGACGGCTGGGTAGGGTTCGGTCAGGTCCCCAAACTGTGACGGACCGACTGCGGTTTCTCTGTGGGCTTCCGGACAGTTTCGCACACCAATCACCCACCGCGTCATTTCCCAACCCCAATCGGCTCCTCCTCCCCACCCCATCCCCCAAAGCACCCCGCACGTCCTTCCCCTCCGCGTCCCCCCAAGCGGTGGCCACTGCCTCCACTGCTGCACAGCACACGGTACTCCCCTCCCCCACCACCCAGCCGCTCCGCCTTATGCTGCTTCTGCGACCCTTCTCCCCTCTTGGCCCTCTCTCCCCTTCCTCGGCTCTCTTCTCTTCCCCCCCCACCTCCCTCCCCCGCCCCCCTCAATATCCCCCCCGCTCTCCTCGCCAATCACCTCTTTCCCCGCCCCACCTTTCCCCTCGGTCGTCTCCTGCTTCCGAGACCTTCCGCCTTCTCCTCTCCGTCGCTCTCCCGTGCTGCGAGCGCAACTTGCATCCCCCACGGACTTGCCCTCACACACCTCGAGATTGGTTTCGTCTTCCCTGTCGTGTCTCTGGGGGCGTGGGCTTGTTCAGTGCTTGACTTTCCACCATGGATGATTGGTCGTAGCTCTTATTCATTCCGAGAAAAAGGATCCATAGAGTAGGAGAAGCTCCCAGCTAGAGTTCCGTTGTTGCAATGGCTTCGCGAGGAAGGTCCACGCCGTGTGGACGATCCATGGCGGGAATTTTAGATGTTCATGTCCATTACGCGGCAGGGCTCCCATCATTGTGTGACTATGGCGAGCAGGACGTTTACGTTCGTTTCTTATTCGGCGAGCTCGATCCCCTCTCTGGCGCCGTGTTACAGGTACACGAGTCTATTTTTCTTCAACCTGTTACCCAGCAATTCGTAATTTTACGTGTGTTTCGAGGAGCGTTACATCCCCTGGACTATTAAATACTTCCCAGGAGGGTGTAATGATTGACTTCACCCTGAAAATCTGGAGCTTGCGTTTTCGACCTTGAGGCTTAGAGCAAGCTCGTCTAACGATTACATGTCGCATAGCGTCAAGTTTTGTGTTCGATTTTCCGAATCCTGCGTGCGTGAGCAGACCAGGACGGTTCGCAAGGGCGGCACGCGGCCCATATTCGACCAGTCGTTGCAAGTCGGAGTCCCGTCGGGCGAGCAGGTTCGTGCTGCCTTGTTGCGTAAGTTACCATGGTTGTCCCTTGCGGTTATTATCGTTACACCTAGCATTGACGTGACGACATCCAGCCAGTCGCGACGCGACGCATCGGAGTTTCCAGGCGTACAGGGTCGCGTCGATTGTACTTGCGGTGTGTAAGAATTTTATGAAGTTTAGAGGCATTTTGCGACGACGTAATACTCCAAAACAGCTTCAGTTACCACCATTTCGCGTTTACGTGAGAGAATCAGGCCACTCGCGATGCGTCAAGCCATTCGACGCTGCGTGCCGACGATCTGCTCTCGCGATACCCTGTCCGCGCCTGTCCCGCTCGCTCTTGTCCCGCTCGTTCCACTCGTCGCGCTCGTTCCGTTCGTTCCGCTCGTTCCGCTCGTCGCCCTCGTTCCGTTAGTTCCGCTCGTTCCGCTCGTCGCGCTCGTTCCTTTCGTCGCGCGCTCTCTCGGCCTTCCTTGCACTCAACGTCCACCACGCCTCCCCCCTCCCCCCTCCTCCGCCACCTCGCCGTACGGAGAATTGTGGAACTCTCACATCGCGTCCCCGCGCTGGAGTTTATATCCTCGTTGAACACGTGGCTCCCCGCCGCTTATCAAGCCGTCTTTTCTCCACGCCCGCACCCGTTTCCCCTATCTCGCTCTCCCACCTCCAACCTTGTCGTCCCCCCACCCTCCTTCTCGCTCCATCCCCACTCGCGCGCAACCTCTGTGCTGCTAGGTGTTCATTTTGCGGCTGCCTCGGTAATCGCGGCGGTCAGATGCGGGTCGCGCTTCCCCCCTAAGCTCTGCTCTGTCTCCTCTTCCCCCGCTTTTCCCCTCCCCCACCTCCCTCTTCTCCGCGTTTCCCCCTTCGTTCTGCCCCTCCCGCCGCCCCGTTACCCCACTTCCCCCTCCCCGCGCAGCGTCTGCGCTGCGAGGTGTTCATGTCGCAGCCGCGCGGGCGCGATCAGCTGCTGGGCGCCGCGAACGTGTCGCTGGAGGAGATTATATCGCGTACGGCCAAGCTCTCCAAGAAACCCGCGGAGTTCAAGTGAGCTCCGCCCGCGCCCTTCATTTGTTCATGCATTCATTGGCGCATCTTGCGTCCGACCTCCCCGCACCTGGCGGATCTTGCGTCCGACCTCCGCGCATCTGGCGGATCTTGCGTCCGACCTCCGCGCATCTGGCGGATCTTGCGTCCGACCTCCGCGCATCTGGCGGATCTTGCGTCCGACCTCCGCGCATCTGGCGGATCTTGCGTCCGACCTCCGCGCATCCCCCTTCCCCGTCACAACCTCCCCCCTCCCCTTCCCCCCCTCGCTCCGTTTCCCAACCTCCATTCTCTTGTCGCCTCGCCTCTTCTCTCACCCCTTTTTCTGTTGCGCTTCTCAATCTCCCCGCGCTTTCGTACTTACCAGTCCAAACCCCGTGTCCCCGTACTCTCCTCTCTCCTTCTCTCCGCGTGGTGTTCATTTTCTCTCCCCGTTTCCCCCCTCTGCCCCTCCTCCAGGCTGCTAAGCAGCAGCAGCGCGCCCGCGGGAGCACTCGTGCTCACGCTCTCCTACCACGGCCGCTCCGCCTCTTCCTCTCGCCCCGCCGCGCAGCCATCCGCGCAGGCCTCCGCACTATTCAGTGCGCAGTCCGCCGCGCAGGCCGACGGACAAGCCGGCGCGGCGGCCGCGGCAGCGGCGGCGGCTGCCGGGGCGTTCTCGCGGTTTGCGTTCCCGCCCTCCCCGCAAGACTCCGCCTCCGCCGCCGCCGCCGCGATCTCGCTGCTCCCCGCAAAGAGAACCCCTCCCCCGCTCCCCGCGTCGTTCGCCGTGGCTCCCACTCCACCCCTCCCCTCATCCCTCCCCGCGTCTAGCGCCGTAGACGCGATAGCAGCTGCGCTGTTTCCGCGGACGCACATCCAAGCGCAGGCTCAGGCGCAGGCGCAGGCGCAGGTTCAGGCTCAGGCGCAGGCGCAGACGCACGCGCAAATGCACCCGCAGATGCTGACGTCACCCCAGCTGGCTTCACCCATGTTCCCCCCCGCCGCTTCCCCATTTCCGCCTCCCCCTTCCCCGCCTGTCGCTAATGCGCAGGCGGCAGTCGCGACCCCGCCGCCCCCTTCGTTCTTTAATCCTTCCCCCTCGTTAGTATCGCATCCTGCCCCCTCGTTACTGTCACATCCTTCCGCCGCAGCGGCGCCGTTACATTTCAACCCCCATGCCTCGTCCGCCACTGCGCCGTCGTCGTCGCCGCAGCGCTGGCGCGCAACGGAAGGCTCGTCGCAGCTAGAATCGAGGCGGGTAGTAACGGGGACGGAGGGAGAAAACCGCGCAGGCAGGGACTTTACAGGCGCGAAAGGGGCGGGGGGAGATGCGCTGCGCGGTATAGCTTCCGCGGAGTTCAGTTTGGGGGAGGCGCGGATCGGCGGAGCGGGGATTGGGGGAGCGGGAATACGCGGCGCGGAAACGGGGGTAACGGCGGGGGTAGCGGGGGCGGCAGCGGAGCTGATGACACTGGCGCAAAACGACAGCACGCACAGGTCGTATCTGGCCAGGCAGTTACTGGACTCGAGCCCTGCAATGCAGGGCGGCGCGAGTATGGGGGCTGTAGATTTAGGTCCATCCAACGGTGGAGATGCAAGCATGCGGGCGGTAGACCTGGGGGGCGCTAGTTTGGGGGCGGGGGGCGCAAGATCCGCGGAAACTTCAGAGGCTGGACGAGTAGGCGGAGTTATGGGGGGAATGGGTGGGGGGAGGATGGGGGGAACGGGGAAGACGTCCCCGCCCCCTTGCTTGGATCTCTCCGCGGGTTTGGGCAGAGCAGGGGGAACGGAAGGGGGCGATGGGGGGAGAAAGAAGAGCTTGAGGCGGGAGCGGGATTGGTGGAGTGAGGGGAAGGCGGAAGCTATGGAGGTGGAGGGGGAAAGTGAGGCGTGCGGGGGGAGTCCGGCCTAGGGGGAGTCGAGTTTGGATTGTCTACTGTGGCAACATTAGCAGCAGCAGCAGCAGCAGCAGAAGCAGAAGCAGGTGATGACGAGAGCGCAGCAGGAGCAGAACTGGGGGCAGAAGCGGGAGCTGGGAGAACCACAGAAGCGACTGCAAACTTAATGAACAGCAACCATGCTCATGGTAGAAGCGAGCTGCAGCAGCAAGAGCAGCAGCAGGAGCAGCAGCAGCAGCAGCAACAGGAGGAGGAGCCGAGGCTGATGCAGCTGCTGCCAATGCAGTGGTGCTCGGAGGATAGAGAGAAGGACAGTTCAGTGCATAGTAGAAGCAGCAACAGGCCATCTGGACCGTCGGATAAACAATCAGGACCGTTGGATGGACCATCTGTTCTCAGTCTATCAGATAGCACACCAGCCACCGTTGCAAGCCCGGACCTATCCCTTGGTAGGGCAACGAAGCTGAGCCTCGAGCCTGCCGAGCCAAGCAGGCACAACTTGTTGTCAACTTTGACTCTAGGTTTGGAACCCGAGCCTGTTGGTGAGGCAGAAAGAGCGCCCGTGTCCTGCCTCCCTGCGCCATATTCCTTGAACCTGGCCTCGCCTTTTCAGGTGTTTCAGGTGCCACAACAGCAGGTGTTTCAGGTGCAACAGCAGCCTGTTCATGCGCCTCAACAGGCGCCCATATCTATGGTTCCGGGAGCGGGCGCGGATACGTACGCGCCTAGTAGTCACCCGGGCAGTTTAGGTGATCAAGTGCATGCAGCAGTTGCAGCATCCGCTGCTGCTGCAGCCACTGCCGCTGCTGCTGCTGCTGATGCTGCTGGTTCTGGTGCTACTGTGGCTCCTGCTGTTGATGGTGGTGCGGCTAGTACCGGTGTTCCTGCTGCCACTGGCGCGTTTTTCTCTGCTTTCCCAACGCGTCCGCCCTCTTCCATGCATCTGCCAACACAACTCGTGCCAACTCAACCCATGCCAATGCAACCCGTGCCATCACAACCCGTGCCAACGCTACTCACAACAGCTGCCTCTGCTGCAACTCTTTCGTTCCAAGCCGCCCCTCTCTCTGCCTCTCCCCCTGTCCCTCTCTCTGCCCCTGTTCCCGTCGCTATCCCTATCCCTGTCCCCATCTCTGCCCCGCCCCCTGCCTCTCTCGCCCCCCCTGCTTCTGTCTCCTCCTCTCGCCCCACGACCTCTGCATTTCGTCCCTATCCAGCCACCCCGCGCTCTGATACCAAATCTCCCCAGGCAGGTTCGGCCGCCGAGCCTAGTCGGCCCGGCGTGGACTCGTCCAGGCTCGGCACAGATTCGTCGAGGCTCGGCGCCGAGCCATGCCGGCCTGCAAAGAAGCAGTGTTGTTCGCCCGCTCGCCAAGTCTACCCCGTCTCCCCTCAGCAAGCACCCCTCTCTCCTCAGGACCACAGTTTGCCTCAGGGCCATATTATGCCCCAGGATTCAAAAGAGGGTGCTGCTGAAAAGCCCTCTTCGCTGCTCCCGTCCCTCCCCTCCTTCTCCTGTCGCTCCCGCAGTGCTGCTGCCTGCCCTGCTGCTGCTGCAGCCAGGTCTCTCTTTGGAGCCCTCTTGGGCTCTACTGGGTTTGGTACAGGCAATGCTGTGAATGGCAGTGCCAGTGCCAGTGTCAATGCCAATGCCAGTGGAAGTGGTAGTGGTGGGGGCTCTGGGGCTGGATCGTCCTCAGCTGCTGCTACAGCCGGTGCTACAGCCGGTGCTACAGCCGGTGCTACAGCCGGTGCTACAGCCGGTGCTACAGCCGGTGCTACAGCCGGTGCTACAGCCGGTGCTACAGCTGCTGCTATAGCTGGTGCTACAGCTGCTGCCACAGCCGCTGCAGCTGGTGCTACAGTTGCTACAGCCGCTGCAGCTTCTACCGCTGCTGCTACAGCCCCTGCCTCTGCATGCCCGGGTGCGCCCGCTTGGCTTGTAGCTCTGTCTTCCTCGCTTGGCATGGGCGGGTGCAAGCAGCAGCAGGGAAAACAGCAGCAGACGCAGCCACAGTCTCAGCAGCAGTCACAGCAGCAGTCGCAGCAGCAGGGAAAACAGCAGCAGAAGCAGCAGCAAGCGAAGCAGGGGCAGAAGGCGCCGCTGCTGCTGCAGCTGCAGCAGGCGCAGCAGAAGCAGGGGAAGCAGCTTCAGTCGGTTGCTACCACTCCGCCCGATGCCACTGCGTGTGGATCACGGATTCTCCGTCTGGCTGAGCTGCTGAGTGAAGCAGAGAGCCAGCGTAAGGTGCAATCATCGTCCTCACCATCACCACCGCCAGCAACAGCCGCAGCCGCAGCAGCAGCAGCAGCACCGGCGGGATCCCTGGCAGCAGGGTTAGCAGCTGCAGCGGCAGCAGCCGCTGCTGCAGCTGCAGCCGCTACAGGAGCAGGGGCTGTAGCAGGGGCGAGAGGGACGCTAGGCAGCAGCAGGGGGGGTGATATTGGGCGGAAGTCTCACACTCACAGCTCATCACCCCAGTCTCCAGCCTCGGCCCCGGGCCTGATAAGCTTGGGCCAAACCGGCATCCGAGCCTCCTCCAAGCCTTCTTCCCGTTCGATCCTGCCTTCCCCGTTTGCTGCTGGTGATGCTGCTACCAGCATCTCTGTCAGTGCAGCATTGGGTGGTGGTGGGGGTGGTGCTGGTGCTGGTGCCGGTGCTGGGTTAGGGGCGGCTTTTGAGTCGATTCAAAAGTCACCTCGGGGTGCCAGTGCAGGTTCAGGGGCGGGCGTAGGGGCTGATTTAGGCACGAGGAAAGGGAGTTTTCTGCCCCACCTGATGCTGGCACTGGAGAACTCAAAGAAGACGAAGCAGAGCGCAGGGGTAGGTGCGCTCAGCAGTGCTCTCAGTGCTACATCAGGTGCTACAGCCGGTGCTATAGCCAATGCCACAGCCGGTGCCACAGCCGGTGCAACAGCCGGTGCCACAGCCGGTTTTACAGCCATTGCTGCAGCCTCTGCTACAGGTGGTGCGTCTAGTGCTGCCTGTGGTCCAAGGCTGACTGGCAGCAGTAGCACACCGAGTATTGTTGACATGTCAAGTGTACCTGGCCCCAATCCTGGGCTAGGCGCTGCCATTGCTGCTGCTGCTGCCGCCGCTGCTGCGGCTGCTGCGGCTTCTGCTGCTGCTGGTGCTGCTGGGTCTAGTGGGTTTGCAGGAGGGGTTGGGAGGGGTAGGGGAGTTGGGGCTGCGTCTGGTGCGGGTGCGGGGACAGGAACGGGAGTAGGAATGGGAACAGGAACGGGATTCGGGAAAGGGGCAGGAACGGGAGTAAAAATGGCTGAAACGGGTGCAGCAGAGGTGGGTGCTGGGGAGGAGAGAAAAGGAGGTGTGGGAGGAGGAGCAGGAGGAGGAGGCGGGGGAAGAGGGCAAGGGCAGGCGGCTTGGCACAGGGAGGACCAGATTACGCCCACGTCCATCCTTGATGTTGCCATGTCAGATGCTGACAGGTGAGATGCGGTGCTGCCAGGTGGGGTGCGGCGGTGCTTATGGGCGGGATGGGTGGGAGGGCAGGGGCCGGCGGCATGGCACAGGTAGGACCAGATTACGCCCACATCCGCCGTTGATGTTGTCATGTGATGCCGACAGGTGAGATGCGGTGCTGCCAGGTGAAGTGCGATGGATATGGATACGACCCATTTCACCCCTGTCGTCTATGTCTATTAACACCGTCAACCCCCTTCTCTGTCCGTGTCTCCCTTCCCTTGTTCTTTTCAGCGAGCAAGCCACGGAGGACGTGCACATGGCTGAAGCTGCTTCCGCCCCACAACCATTGCCAAGGGCAGCAGCAGCTTCAGCAGCAGTTTCAGCAGCACCAGCAGCAGCAGCAGCAGCAGCAGCAGCACCAGCGGCAGCAGCAGCAGCAGCAGCAGGGGCAGGGGCAGGGGCAGGGGCAGCAGGAGCAGCATCACAAGCATCATTAGCAGCTTACTCCTCTGCATCCGCCCTGCCGCCCAGCCTTGTAGCTTTCTTGGCATCCCAGGCTGCAGAGGCTGCTTCTGCTGGGAAGAACCGTCCAAATCTAGCCACCCAGCAGCCAGCAGCAGCAGCAGCAGCAGCAGCAGCAGCAGCAGCAGCAGCAGCAGCAGCAGCAGCAGCAGCAGCAGCAGCAGCAGCAGCAGCAGCAGCAGCAGCAGCAGCAGCAGCAGCAGCAGCAGCAGCAGCAGCAGCAGCAGCAGCAGCAGCAGCAGCAGCAGCAGCAGCAGCAGCAGCAGCAGCAGCAGCAGCAGCAGCAGCAGCAGCAGCAGCAGCAGCAGCAGCAGCAGCAGCAGCAGCAGCAGCAGCAGCAGCAGCAGCAGCAGCAGGAGGAGGAGGAGGGGGCGCGGAGGGAGGAAGGGGGTGGGCAGCTTTCACCAGAGGCTCCTGCTTGGCACCGCAGCTTTGCTGCAGCATTTGCTGGGGCTCATGTGACCCCCGCTGCCCATGCAACCTCCTTGGCTCATGTTAATTCTCCTGCTCCTACCAATGCCGCAGTTGCTGCTGGTTCCACTGGTCCTGTTCCCTCCGCCCCCGCTCCTTCCGCTCCTGCTTGCATTCCCCCTCCTAATCCTGCTTCGCCTGCTCCCGCTTCTGCTCCCTCTCCTCCCACTGCCCCCAGCGCGTTTGCTGCTTTACTGAGAGCAAGTGAGGCAGCTAATCCCTCCATGCCCGCTCACCAGCCTAACCCCAGCCTCAACCCTTCTTCATCCCTTTACCAAAACCACCACCACCAGCACCAGCACCAGCACCAGCACCAGCACCAGCACCAGCACCAGCACCAGCACCAGCAGCACTACCAACACAACCACCTGCTTCCGCCATTTCATGCAGCAGCCGCTGCAGTTGCACCAGCAGCTGCACCACCCACTCCAGCACCAACATCCCGATTGCCAACTCCCGTCAATACCACCTCTCCGCCATCCCTCCCTCCCTGTCACCGCTCCTCTCCTCCGTCCTCCTCTCCCTCTCCCGCCTCTCCTCCCTCTCTTTCCTCTCCCCCGTCGCCACCCTCCCTCCCTTCCTCCTCCCCTGCTTCCTCCTTCAACCCCTCCTCCTCCACCTGCCCCCTCACTGCCCTCCGAGCCTCTCTGCCGAACCTCCCGCTGCCGGGCCTGCCGCTGCCGAGCCTGCTGTCGTGGCACCGCAAGGTGGAGGGGGAGGAGGCGGTACTGCTGAGGGAGCAAGCAGCTGCTATCTGGCAGGTTTCTAAAGCGCTTATGGGACAGGGACAGGGGCAGGGGCAGCAGGGACAGCTGGGGCAGCAGGGACAGCTGGGGCAGCAGGGACAGCTGGGGCAGCAGGCGCAGGGGCAGGGGGAGCAAGCAGCTGCTATCTGGCAGGTTCCTAAGGCGCTTATGGGACAGCAAGGCCAGGGGCAGCAGGGGCAGCAATTGCAGTACCAGCAGGGACAGGGGCAGGGGCAGCAACCGCAGCAACAAGGGCAGGGGCAGCTACAGCAGCAAGGGCAGGGGCAGCAGCAGCAGCAGCAGCAGCAGCCGCAACAGGGGCAGGGGAAAGGGCATGGGCAGGAAAGTGCAGCAACAAGTGAAGCAGGAGCGGTAGGTGATGGAACAGCGTCAGCATCAGCAGCAGCAGGAGAATCAGCAGGAGAGGCAGCAGGAAGCCCTGGGTTGGCGGGTATGCAGGCTTTGGCAACTCTAGCTGCTCTGCAGCAGCATCAACAGCAGCAGTCAGCTACCTCCGCTGGAGCTGCTGCTTTTTTGCTAGCAGATCCTGCTTCTGTTAGTCGTGCAGCTGCTGATTCTGCTAGTCGTGCGGCTGCTGATTCTGCCGCTCATGCTGCCGCTGCTGCTACTGCTGCTACTGCTGCTACCACTTGCGCTGCTGCCGGTGGTGCCACCGCGTCTCCTATCGCAGCGTGCACCTCAGCCGAACAGCCGTGCAGAAAGGGAAAAACGTCCAATCGCTCTGGGTGCGGGAAGAGGAACAAGCGGCATTCTTCTCACTCAAACACCAATACCACTGGCACTGCCACCACCGCCACCACCACCACGACTGCCACCACATCTGCCAGCACCGATTATTCCTCTGCCTGCAGCCCCCCTGGTGCCATGCCAGGTGCTTCATCAGGTGTTATGCCAGGTGTTTTTTCAGGTCTTTTTCTGCCTGCTGTTACATCAGGTGCAATGCCACGTGCGGGCACGGGCACAGCAGCTGCTGTGAATCATTCAACTAGTGGCAGTGTGCAAGCAGAACAGCGGCAAACGAGAAGCAGTGGGACAGCGGTGGCACACGAACAGACAGCATGCTCGGCACGCCAGCATGGGGCGGGCGGTGGTGCGCTAGCAAACTTCGAAACGTCTCAAAACGCGCATCAGCAGGGCAGGCCTTGCAGTGTGGCGCCGGCACAGCAGCAGGTGGCACAGCAGCAGGCGGCACAGCAGCAGGTGGCACAGCAGCAGGTGGCACAGCAGCAGGCGGCACAGCAGCAGGCGGCACAGCAGGAGGTGGCTAATGGCAGTGTGATCCCAGCGCAACCACATGGGTTGGGGCAGCAGCAAGCAAGAAGTACGGGGGGTGCAGCACCAGCAGCAGATGGCAGTGTGATCTCAATGCAACAGCATGGTGCTAGTGGCAGTGTGATGTCAGCGGCAGTGTGGCAGGCGAGCATGGGGAAGAGCAGGGAGGAGGCAGAGGCCCTGTGTGAGCAGGCCGTGCGGGCGGGCACGCTCACTCACGACCAAGCGGCCGAGTTCAGTGGGCTGCTGTCCAAGGAGAGTCTGCGGAGCTTGAGAGAGGTGAGCAGGGGTGGGGCTGGATGTTGGTGGGTTTGGTGCGGTAAGCGGGTGGTGGTGAGCAGGCAGTGCGAGCAGGCACGCTCACCCACGACCAAGCTGCTGAGTTCTGTGGGCTGCTGTCCAAGTAGAGCCTGCGAAGCCTGAGAGAGGTGAGGAAAAATGGACGGTTTGGGTGGGTGGAGTGAGGTACAAGGGTGTGACACAGGGTGGTTAGCGCTGTGTGAGCAGGCTGTGAGGGGGCGGGCACGCTCACTCACGACCAAGCGGCTGAGTTCTGTGGACTGCTGTCCAAGGAGAGCCTGCGGAGCTTGAGAGAGGTAGGCGGCCGCATTGGTGCATCACATGCCTGGTTGTCTCTCAGTCACATCTGCCATGCACGAGAATCTCCCTAGGTACCACTTATCGTACTCTGTCCTGCGGCCCCCCCTTGTTCCCAACTGCTTACAAGCAGTCTCTTTTAGCGATGGAGGACAAGTTCCGGGGGTGCTCGATAGAGGACCTGGAGGAGAGCCGTAACACACACACTCTCTCCCTCTCTCATCCATCTCCGCCCCCACCCCGTCCCTGCTGCTTCCTCACAGTCCCTTCTAGCTATGGAGGACAAGTTCCGAGGATGCTCAATAGAAGACCTGGAGGAGAGCCGTCGGCAGGCGTGGCGGGAGTTTTGGGAGAAGCTGGAGGCGGGCAGGCGGAGGGGAGGCGGAGAAGCTGGGGCGAATGGGGCTGTGGGAGGCGCTGCTGGCAGCGGTCCCGGCTCTGCTCCGTGCATTTTCTATGGCTGCCGCGCGTTCTTCTAAGGGGGCATGGCGGGAGTTCTGGGAGAAGCTGGAGGCGGGCAGGAGGAGGGGAGGAGAAGCTGGGGCAAATGCTGCTGCTGGCAGCGGTCCTGGCACTGCTCCATGCATTTTCTATGGCTTCCGCGCGTTCTTCTAAGGAGGCATGGCGTCGCGGGAGTTCTGGGAGAAGCTGGAGGCGGGCAGGAGGAGGGGAGGCGGAGAAGCTGGGGCAAATGGGGCTGTGGGAGGTGCTGCTGGCAGCGGTCCCGGCGGTGCTCCGTGCATTTTCTATGGATGCCGCGCGTTCTTCTAAGGGGGCATGGCGGGAGTTCTGGGAGAAGCTGGAGGCGGGCAGGAGGAGGGGAGGGGTGGCTGCTGCTGCGGGCGGGCCAAATGGGGTTGTGGGTGGAGCGACTGGGAGTGGTGCCAGCAATGGCTCGTGCATTTTTTACGGCTGGAGGAGATGAGGTGTTGCTTGAGTTGCACAGGGCGGGCTGGATGGGGCTGTGGGAGCTGCGGCTGGAAGCGGTGCCGGCAATGGCTCGTGCATTTTTTATGGCTGCTGCACGTTTTTCCAAGGCGGCGTCGCGGCGAGTGTCATAGATGAAAGGAACCAGTTTTCTGATGAAGGGGCTGGTTTCCTATACGTTCTTCAAGTCCCACAGGCTCTCTGGGTCTCGAGTCTCTTGATTAAATCAGAGAGCGCCTAATTTGGTAAAGCTAGTACAGTGATAGAATGGTTTATATCTAAATTTCTATATTGTAAATGGTGATTTTGCTTGACTTGGTGCAGCATCTTGACCAGTATTGCTGCCGTGTAGCGAAGCCGGTGGTTTAGACATCGAGGCCTGTTTCAACACACGAAAGTAGATTCGGTACCTGTCAGTTACAGGCTCGGAGTTGGCCCAAAATGGAACGCGTGCGCGAGAGCTTCAAGTTTCGCAAGGGCGGGTTACAGCCCGAAACGCGTTGCAGCACGATTCGAATCGCAAACGACCTTGAGAGGAAACCAGAAACACGCCTCACGAAACCCAGGGTATTCTAGAACCACCGTGTTTGATTGAATTCTTGAATATTCTCGCAAGGTTTCTGTTGGTGGTGTCGTCGATTAGGGCTTGTTGCGACATCGCTTTGCCATACGTGCTTTGGCGTTTTCACAGTTCCGTTGCTTCTGAGACCCTTTGCCTTCACGATAAAATCCTCCCTTTCCATTAAACGAAATCGAGATAACAACAAGAGACAATCAGCAAAACCAGTCGGCGTAAGAGAAGAATCAGCCAATCGCGTGGAGGGACTTTTAAAAATTCTCAGAATTGACGCCGATCGCGCGGAGGCATGTATGCGGATCGCCTAGAGGAGGAACCGGAGACCGTGAGAGCGCGCCTCTCGGGGGGGCGATCAGGTGGCGTACGCGCAGGCGCGGCGAGCACCGGGCCAATCAGGAACCGCGTGTCGTTCAAGAAGGGCGGCTCCGCCACCACATTCAGGTGCGCCGCGTCTCCTGCGGCTCGGGATGCGTCGCTGCCTGTGCCTCGGGTTACTCCGCGTATGATACCGCGCGTTTGCGTGACATATTAGTTGACTCGATAGTCACCTTCGGGGACACTGTGTCCAATATCCCTTTCGGGTGATATCGCCGTTCGTATCGCCTTTCGGTGACTATTGAGTCGCGGATAGAAGCTGAGGTTGCCGTTGTCTAGCTATGGGTGCGTGTGGTAGCTCCTGATATAGCCAACCACCCCTTTTTTCAGCAGTACAAACGGGTTAGGTTCGGTTCAGTAGCGTGAGAAGGAGTATTTGCTTAAATGGCCATTGTATGCGGATCCGCGTCACCTCAGTGTGTCAAGAGAGGCGAAGTAGAGAGCAGGCGGGGAAAGGCGTGGGATGGGAAAACGAGTCGGGGCGGAGGGGGAGGAGGGCTTTTGCGTTTGCGGCGCCTAAAAGAGAGCAGTCGTTTAAAGGCGTGGGAGGGGAAAACGAGTGGGGACGGAGAGGGGAGAAGATGACAACCCTACTGTTAATGGTGCGCCTTGCATCTGATCCTCTCCTTCCTTACCACTTCAACCAGGCGCCACTCTACTGGCGGCAGCGGTGGCGAAGACAGGTGGCATCACGACCTGTTTGACCAGAGCGGCAACACTGATGACCCTGCTGGTGACGGTGCGATTTTTCATATTATCCCTTGCTCCCCACCTTTCTCACGACCACCATTCAGGCGCCACTCTACTGGCGGCAGCGGTGACGAAGACAGATGGCATCACGACCTGTTTGATCAAAGCGGAGCTAATGATGACCCTACTGGTGACGGTGCGTCCGTTCTCCATCCCCTCCACTCCCCTCCACTCCCCTCCGCTCCCCTCCACTGCACTCCGTTCCTCCCCACTCCCTTCCTTTCCTCGCCTCCCGATCTGCCCTAAATCCTTTCGAGAGTTCCCACTCACTCCTTTTGTTCCTTCGCATGTAATTGAGAGGTTATTTTGAGATTTTTCAAAAAGAGTTCGAGTGATTTTTCTCTTTTCCGCTGCCCTCGTGTTTCTACCGCCCTTTTCTGTTCCCTCTCCTATACTCCCCCAGGAGTCCCCCCAGCCAACGACCTCCGCGCCCTGCTCAGGGCCAAGGGGGGAAAGCTGGGGGGGGTGGGCGGAAAATTGGGGGGAAGGTTGGGCGGAAGAGTGCAGGTGGCGGACCTCCGCCACAAGCTGTCTGGGGGGAGCGGGGGAAGTGGGGGGAAGACCAGCAGGGGGAGACTAGGCGCTGCTGTGGTAAGCAGTGCGGGAATTTTAGCAGCTGAAAGGGGAGGAGGGGGAGGGATAAGGGGAGGAAGCGGAAAAGCAGCAGCAGGGGGAGGAGCAGGAGGAGGGGGTTTGGTGGTGAGGGGTAGAGGAGCGGTTACGAATCTATCCTCTTTATCCTTTCGGAGTGATGAGCGGGTGGTGGTTGGTGGGGACGTGGGAGGGGCGGTGAGAATGGCAGCAGCTGCTGCTGCGGCTGCAGCAACAGGAGGAAGGGGAGGGGGAGAACGGCTAGTGAAGCAGCAGCAACCGCGGCAGCACCAGCAGCACCAGCACCAGCAGCAGCAGGAACAGCAGAGGAGGCTGACTGTGGTGGTGGCAAACGATGGGGTTGGAGGAGCAACCATCAGGAGGAGAAGCACCGTGGTGGGGGCGGTGGGAGTGGGGGAGGAGAGGGGGGTGACGGCTATGGATGCTGACGTGGCAATGGAAGGGGGTGACGAGCAGCAGGTGAGAAGCAGCTGGGGAGAAGGTGGGGGCAGTGCGAATGGGGGTGGGGGTGGGGGTGGGGGAGGCGAGGGGGGTGACGGTAAGGGATGCTGATGTTGCTATGGAAGGGGGTGACGAGCAGCAGGTGAGAAAGCGTGTGGGGAGCAGGTGGGGGGGTGGGGGTGGGGGTGGGGGTGGGGGTGGGGGTGGGGGTGGGGTTGGGGTTGGGGTTGGGGTTGGGGATGGGGGAGGAGTGGGGGGTGGCGGCAAGGGATGCTGATGTGGGTATGGAAGGGGGCGACGAGCAGCAGGTGAGAAAGCGCGTGGGAGGAAGGTGGGACAGTGGGAGTGGGGGAGGAGAGGGGGATGACGGCTATGGATGCTGATGTTGCTATGGAAGGGGGTGACGAGCAGCAGGTGAGCAAGCAGCTTAAGAGGGGAGGGAAGGGTGGGGGGGGGCGGGGGGAAGAGGGGGCTTGGGAATGCGGCAATGGATGCTGACGTGGCTATGGAAGGGGGTGACGAGCAGCAGGTGAGAAGGGGCTGGGGCGAGGGTCTGTAGCACCACTGTCAGCCTCCTCTGACTTTTGTGGCGTGCTCGATGCATACTGCAGCAGAGGAGGCTGACAGTGGTGGTGGCGAACGATGGGGTTGGTGGGGCAGGTAGCATCAGGAGGAGAAGCACGGTGGTGGGGGCAGTGGGGGTAGGAGTGGGGGAGGAGAGGGGCGTGGCGGCAAGGGATGCTGATGTTACTATGGAAGGGGGTGACGAGCAGCAGGTGAGAAGCGGCTCTGTAGTGTGAATTGGAGCAGGTGAGGAAACGTGTCGGTTATAGTGTGACTTTTGTAGCATGTGAGACGCACACTACACAGCAGCAGAGGAGAGGGGGGTGGCTTCAATGGAAGCGAGTGTTGCTATGGAAGGGTGGAGACGAGCAGCAAGTGAGAAGCAGCTCGAGGGGAGGCTGTAGTGTGAGTGATGCATGCAGAGTGATAGCACATCACTTGGTTAGTGTATTCAATTCTTAGAGTAGTTTTTGTTTGTGTAGAGTAGGTTTTGTTTGTGTATTCTACCTCTAGAGTAGTTTTTGAGAATTCGCAAAAACTACCACCTGTGCATCAACAAGGCTGCAGTATGAGTGATGCATGTAGAGTGATGGCGTTATGCGCAATTTCATTGTGAGACATTTTGTGGCATGCTCTGTGAGATGTTGCGATGTTATATGAATGTGGGATGTATGCAGTTTGCTGTGTGGGATGCTAATGCTTGCAATGCTCTCACTCTAGGTCATGTGTTTCTGTATCATGAACTATATGTGTGTCGCTGTGTATCACATGTGACAATATAGTTATTAACCCCTCTTCACCGTTTCACAACCCTCTGCACATCCGCCCATCCGCCATTCCGCCCTTCTGTTCGCCCAACCAGACAGTGGCCTCCTTCCTTGCGAGTCTGGGACTGAGCAAGTATGCCGACTTATTTGCAACAGAAGAGGTGACGCTCCTCCCCTCCCCTCTCGCCCTCCCTGCACCATACCCACTCATGCACGCATACCCTCCTTCTTTGCGGGTCTGGGCCTGAGCAAGCATGCCGACCTGTTTGCAATAGAAGAGGTGAGTCACTGTAACCATTCATGCATGCATGCGCGCACACACTTGTGCACACAAGCGCACACCCAACCAGACAGTGGCATCCTTCCTTGCGGGTCTGGGCCTGAGCAAGTATGCGGACCTATTAGCAACCGAAGAGGTGAGTCACTGTAACCATTCATGCACATCACGCTCACACACTCATGCACATCACGCTCACACACTCATGCACTCAAGCACACACTCAACCAGAAAGCCAGAATGAGTCTGATTCAAAGCTCAACCCAGAATTTAATCAATAAGAATATGAGAAATATGGTATAAGAAACCACTTTATTCCTTGACCAACATGTAAGCAACGTTGTAGCCGGAATCTGGGCCTGCTTTGTTTCAACTTCACTGTTTGTTTGACAGCCAGCCACCTCACATGCTCCCATGCGCACATGCTCCCATGCTCCCGTCTACTGTGCCTCTTGCCTTCCTACTTGCCGATTTTTTCTTTTTATGTCGCTCTTTGCTTCTCTTTCAACCCCTTCCATCAGATCGACTTGCAGACTCTTCATCGCATGTCAGAGAATGATTTGAAGGAGATCGGCATCCCCATGGTGAGAGCATGACACTCATATGCATGCATGCCCTTGGTGGAAGCACAGACACTCACATGCATGCCCATGGTCAGAGCGCGATAGCCACGCACTCCAATGGTGGGAGCATGCTGTAGATACATGATCATGTAAGAAGTGTGGAGGTACGTATGGTGTAGCATTTTGTGTTCTCCACTGGTCTGGTTTTTCTAGGTATTGTCAATTTCGGTTTCATTCCAATGCGTTGCTTCCCTTTCTCATGGCTAGTGATGCTTTATTTTGCCTATGTTCTTCACAAGATACAGTGTCCCCTTGATTTGAATGCTTTTTTTTTGCTCTTGTTTGTGCCCGCATAACTGTTGGCACAAATTCTTCACTCCTTTCAAGCTTCACATGTGATGCATTTAATAGAACCAGATTCCGCAAGCTATGTGTTACAACTATTTCCCCATGCCACTCTGTGTGTTTGCAGGGCCCTCGTAAGAAAATCGTTCAAGCAAATGCAGCTACTTAGGAAGAAGATTGACCTAATGAGCGTGTTTTGTTCAGCAATATGCAAAATCCTCATGCACAATGTATATTACGTGTTAGAAGCCATACCATTCACCTACTATTTCAGTGTTTCGCACTGGGTTATGAAATATTGGCATGCTGAGCCGAGCTGGAACCGCTTTGAAGTGGGACGGCTTGGCGCTTGTTGTCGGGTTGGTTGTGATGTGATCCTGCCTTCGAAATCTACATCGCAACCGACGGATCTTGGGGGCTGCTTCTTGCCCCACAGTGCATGACAGAAACAGAACCGAAATTTTGGTGGACCACAAAGCAGAGCGAGAGAAAACAGATTACACACGAGCAAAGCAGATTACAGTGCTCACGACCAAACACCAGGTACACCAGATTGTTTGGAGCTAACAGATTGTGTTGGTAGAGTTTCGGGTTTCACAGGGTCGAGGTTTCACAGATGTCGAGGTTCTTTATCAGCATTCCTCACCGCTCGACAGTTTATTAGTTCCCCCGCCATGTACACCAGGTCACGGGGGTTGACAACCGAACCACACTGCTACATGACGAGTAACCCAACGTAGAAACCTATCTTTTCGAAAATACATAAACCGCACGCTCACTCACCACATCACCCCACCACCCCTCGTGGCAGAACTGCCCATCGCAGGCACTGTACACTGCCCGCATTAAACCATTCACCGACGTTCAAAACCTCAACCTCAGTCCCATGTGGGTTTCCGTGTCCCGACGCCTGCATTCCCAAACCAGCAGCTTTGGTCCCTTTTCTCGCCCGGGTTTCCCTCCTTCTGTGGTCCCTACATTTGCCCACTGACATGTCCGTCTGAACAATTTGATAACACTTTGTGCAGATTGCAAGGGCACAAGGACAATGATTTCCGCGTCATCTGCTGTTGTTGCTATTCCAACACCGACCGCCCCATCCGTATTTTAGGGTACAGTACATTCGCCTCAGTTACGAAATTCCATTCCCCGACCGCCCTACCTTGCAAGCTGTATGGCAGGTACCCAGGTCCATACAATTCAAACCCAATTATACACCCTCCAAATATTGTTCTGTGCCAACATCTTGCTCGTTCTAGCTATGCCGCCGCTACACCACCACAGCACTCATCGCGCGCCATCAGTTTATGGTCCCAGGTCAAGAGCCAAGAGTCTCCAGTCCCTGATTAGTCAGCCATGAGTGAAACCGCCACTAGCCGATTTTTCAATGTCTTGAAACAGATTGCCGTGAGTGCTGCTTCGCTGGCATTAACTCATGATGATTGTGCGAGGACCATTAATGGTGGCCTCTAAGAATGTCGCAGCGCGTGATATACCGCGTGCTATTTGCAGCCAGCCTGGCAGTCGCTGGTCCTTACTTCCACCTCCTATCCGCTCGTCCAATCGCTTTAGCCATGGCCAGTGGTTTTCGTATCTCACAATCTCAGCCGCACGAGTCGCGACAGGAGGGCTGGACGGGACGGGTTCCCCGAGTCGAAAGCCGCACGGCGCAATCTCGACTCAACTCACCGTGATTTCAGGAGGAACCCTCACACCTCAGCCAATGCCACCCGCGAGAGCAGTACAGTCGGTGCTCATTTCAAGAACACCAGGTAGGCGGGCGGCATGTGAGTGAAACGAGTTTTAGGCATCTCGCCACGTTCGCCCTTGTCGCCACGGGCAAAAATGTGATTGTAAAATGAAATTGGAATGTGAAACGAGTCTAGGGGTTTAAGTTTGTAACCAGGTAAACACGTCTGGTGACGGGCAGCCGTTGTTGTTTATGAACTGTAGATGTTTTTCTTCCTCGACTTGGTGACTGTACCCCGAAATCAGCACAATCACCACTCACAGGCAAAACGTTCGCGAGTGACTGATTTTCTAATTGGGGGTGATGAGCAAATTTTTGTGATAGGCTGAGCATCGACTGTACCAGCGGGGAGTGGGGCCCGGAGAGGAGAGGAATCTCTGAGGGGAGAGAGCGAAGAAGCGAAAGTCGAAAATATGAGAGATCCGCAAGAGATTTGTACACGTAGCGCATACAAGTTTCCCTCTGAAGCCAGCCTCAAACCGTGAATCGCCAGAGAGTGATAGATCTATTCGCCCTTCGTGTGACCCGCACACATAGTAGCCAGCTGGAGTTTCCGTCTCCCTCGTCGGCTCGAATGGTGTCAGCAGTACTTTTCCTCCTAGAATATTCGAATTTCCGCGGATAGTAGGAGCGAATTTCTGGGTACGCCGAAATCCCCCGAAAAAATACGGTCTTTTTGCTCCACTGTCAGAGTTCGGGCTCAGCTCCGCGTCGCCACCATGTGCCAGCACTCCGCTCTTCGACACGATGTCGCCACGTCGCAGCCTTTCGCGCTGACGTGGACGACAACGACGCCACCGCCGCCGTCGGCGCCGGCGCTCGCCGGGGTGGCGGTTGCGCCGCAGTTTGAGAATAAAGAGCAGTCGATAGATTTTGCGTCAACCAACCGCCGCTTCTCCACGCCTTTCTGGTCATCATCGCTCGGATATAATACAGCAACGGGCTGTTGCGACTCGATGACGCCGCCGCCGCCGCACGGCGCGGAAGTACCCTCGCCGCCGCTAGCCGTCGCCGCCGTCCCGCGGACGGCGCCGCATCCTCACGGCGCCAGAAGCCTCTCCGAAGCCGCCCCGACAGCCACCACCGCCGCCGCCGCAGCCGCTTCCGCAGCTCAGATGTCGAGCGGCGTGCCATCATGGAACCCTAACATGATCATCCATTCCACAGGCTGTATTAATACTAATAATCTGAGTTTTTCGGCTATGGCCAGCGGAAGCGGTCGCATGGCTGTTCCTACAGTCGCCCCTTCTGTTCTCGGTAAGCGGAAGGCACTGGAATATGCTCGCGTGTCGGACAGAGAGCCGTTTTTTGCGGGCATTTCCGAGCAAGTCACCCGCGATTTGCGCCTACAAGACGCGCCGCGCGGACAGTACCGACGGCGCGTGGTGAAGGCCGCGCGCGAGCCTCCAGAGATCGCGGCGTTGCACCGCGATGCGACGGCGGATGATCATCTCGTGGCGCAGCGGTTCTCGCAGCATTTCGCGCAGCAGCAACTCGCTCAGCAGCAAATGGCGGAACAGCAAATCGCACAGCCGCAATGCGTGGAGCAAGAGTCGGCGAGGGATGAGGAGAACCGGCTGCTCCTCCGCTCCTGCGGAGGCGACGACTGCAGGGTCAACCGCGGGCTGGCTGATGAGGCGCAACAGTGGCAGGTGCAGCAGCAACAGCAGCAGCAGCAACAGCAGCAGCAGCAGCATCAGGAGCTGCTGATGCTGCTGCGGAGCCAGCACAGGATGCAGACCTTTGCGGCGAGACAAGCTGAGAAAGGCACTCTCACAGTGCCGCCGCCACTACACGAGGCCGACCGCTGTCGGGAGGAAGGCTTTCAAAGGTCGACTCTCAGCATGGCATCGCTGCTGGATGGGCAGCGGGGCGTGGAGGAAGGCGGGTGGCGCCGTGTGCAAGGTGAAGGGTTGCGGATGGAAAACGAGTCGGGCTGCACGAATTGGGTGGAGGGGGGTGCGCGACAGAGCATGTTTGTGGGTGCACGGCAAGAGCAGCATGGCAGGGAGAAGCAGATGCTGTTGGAGAAAGTGCTGATGCAGTCGTGGTTCCATGCGGAGCGACGGGAGACGGGGCGACGGGCGACGGGGCGAAGGGAAGCGCAGCGACTGGAGGCGGAGCGACTTGAGGAGGAGCATTGGGATACAGAGGATCGGGTCGTGGACAGGAATGGTACGAGAAGGAAGAGGCTGCGCGGAGAGGAGGAGAAGCTGTCGGCGCTGCTGCTGGCGTCCCACCAGGCGGTGATGCAGCAGCAGAGGGAGCAGCTCATGCTCCAGCAGAGGCAGAAGCTGGATCTGGAGCAAAGCCAGCAATTGGTGCTCCCATTTGCGTCTCAACCGGATCCGCGCTTTGCTGAGGCTCAGTCTACAGCTGAGGGTTTTTCTTGTGGAAGAGTTAGTGCGGCTGGAAATGAAGCTGCTTTTTTTGGTTCAGGGGAGGAGCCTGGGGCTTACGTGAACGCCGCTTCCTGTAGCGGCACAACTGCGACCAGCTTAAGGGGAATTAGCCCACCTTCCTGTCCTCTGTTGGATCTTAACCTTAGCCTCTCGCTGTCGTCTCTGAGCAGTGAAGAGACACCGAACACATTTGAGAGTTGATGATGCTTCATATAAAGAAATAGAGTTTTGGTATTGCTGTAGTTTAGCCAGCTTGACATTACCCTCCAATCACTGGCATGCACTTAGCGATTTCATGCTTCAGCGTTATGAATGTTTATAAAGTTAATCATACAACAGCAATACAAATTTACCCTGGCCTGTGGTGAGCCACAAAGGCTAACGGTACCTAAATGTGCGCGACGCGCGCGAATCCTTTTGCGAAATTCGACTGCGGCGGAGTCGAAAACATCGATTCAGAAATTCCGGTTCGGGCTGCTGTGTCGTTGACGGTGACGGCCAGCAGTGCTCCCGTCGGCAGAAATTCATCGCCCAGCCAAGTGAATTGCGCCTGATGCTCGTCGCACGACGCTGACAGCAACGCGATCCAATGGCCCCAAGGCTGACGGAAGGAACCTGCCGTGCCGACGGCCTCAAAATCGTCGTGCACCAATCAGCGCAGTCATCGCATCCCCTCTCCTTCCTTGGTTACCGCCTCCCTCAAGCGGAAGCTGTGCGACCAGTCGCAGATCCCCTCCTCACGTGTGCATTACTCCCTTCGAGTACAGTACGGCACCCTATTCCTGCGACGGTTATCAAATATCGCATACTCCTCCGCAAGCTATTTCGATTGTCGCACAGAACGCATGTTCTCTAGGTTTCGCCTGAGCTTCCCCCTCGCCAGTCAGTTTCGGCTCCAGAAATATAGCCGTTGCGCTCGCTGGGATAATTTAGAGGACCTAATTTTTGGGAAGCTCCGTTACGAGCCTCGCTTAGTTCGACCGATCTAGCAGATCTTCCCTCCTGCCCAGCATAGCGCGCGAACGACGCCCAGCTTGGGTGCCGGCGAGCATTCCAAGCGCTCTTCGCCGAGCAGCCGACTTCCTGCCCAAACAGGAGTAAGCACTTGTATTGTTCATTTGTTTGCGTGCTTGTCGTGATCTTGTTCGCTAATTGCAAAATGCTTCAAATTCCTGACCATCCGTGGCTCAGCTGGACAAGAAAGTTAGTTATGACAATCAACATTGGTGCGGAAAGGTATAAAATTACCGCATTTTTCGTAACTCCCCGTAACTTCCCGCGGAAGTGGATTCTTTGTACGGAGAAAGCCTACCTCGTCGCTCACTCTCCTCCGCTCCTCGCCTTCTCCCGCTCCTTCTCTTTCTCCTCTTTCGTTGAACATCTTCCGATACTCAGCTCGACCGCCGCAAAGAAAATGGCGTCCGCTACGCCTACCGGCGGTGGCGGCGGCGGCGGTGGCGGCGGCGGCGGCGGTCACGGCGGCGATCGCGGCGTGCAGCCGATGACACTGAAGGAGGTTCAGGAGCGAATCGACCAGCTCTACGGCGACCGCAGCGCGAAGAACCTTCGAGAAGGCATCCGAAAAGGCGTTATGTCCGTCGGGAAGGGCGTCTTCGCCGGCGTCGGCGCGCTCGTCGCGGCGCCGATCGCGGGCGCTGCGCAGGAGGGCGGGATCGGATTGGTTAAAGGGACCGTGGCGGGGGTGGCTAGTTTAGTCGTGCTGCCTACTATTGGAATAGTGCAAGGAGCGCAGCAGCTAGGACAGGGGATTAAGAACATGCCGGATGCGGTTCGGGAGATGATGAAGAAGGATAAGCGCGAGGAGGAAGCGGAGAAAGGGGAGATTATAGAAGATCCAGACGCGGATAAGCTTAACGAACAGACGTACTCGCACACGCGCGAAACCGTCGAGAAGATCGCGCTCGAAGCGGAAACAGAGGCGACTGCCACGTCAGCGGCGAAGGCCGCTGCCGACGAAGCAGCCGCCACGTCAGCCGCTGAAGCGGCGGCCGCGGCGGAGAAGAAGGGGGAGAAGAGGGAGGTTAAGGACGAATCGCTTTACTTGGTTCTGGAGGTCGCGACGGACGCCTCGTCCGTGGAGATTAAGAAGGCGTATTACAAGGTGCGCGGTACGGGGGGGAATAGGTGGATGGAAGGAGAAAAACGTGGGGGTGGGGGGGGAGAGGGAGGGGAGGAAGAGAGGGGAAGGGGGTGAAGGGGGAAGGGTGGAAGGGAGCGAAGTGGGGTAGATGGTGACAGTGTTGATGGTGTCGAGGTGAAGTCCTATGAGGATGGGGACGCGGATGTGGTATGGGTGGTGGTGGTGGTGATGATGTGGTATCTGCGTGACATGGCTGTCGAGGCAACTCGGGTTCAACATGAGCAAAGTCCTGGTCCCTCCCACCCCGTCTCTCTCACACTCCTATCCCCACCTGCAGCTAGCGCGCACGTGCCATCCCGACAAGAACCCCGGCGACGAGTGCGCCAAGGCCAAGTTCCAAGCCGTGGCCAAGGTGTAACCAGTCCTCATGGACCCCGGCTCATTCTGAGGCGTCTCAAAGGATCAGACTTTTTCTTCTTCACCATTCAACCCCTCTCTCGACCCTTTTTCCGTCTCTCCTATTCCTATCCCCACCTGCAGCTAGCCCGCACGTGCCATCCCGACAAGAACCCCGGAGACGAGAGCGCCAAGGCCAAGTTCCAGGCAGTCGGGGAAGCCTACCAGGTGCTCATGGACCCCGCCAAGCGCGAGCAGTATGACCGCTTCGGCCGCGCTGCCCTGGAAGACACGTTCATGGACCCCGGCTCGTGTTGAGGTGCCTTGTAGGTCCTGGCTCCTTTTCACCAGCCAATCCCTTTTTCTACCCTCCTTCTGTCCCCGCCTTTCCATGCGCTGTTCCCCTTCTTTTTCAGCTAGCGCGCACGTGCCATCCGGATAAGAACCCCGGAGACGAGAGCGCCAAGGCCAAATTCCAAGCAGTGGGGGAAGCCTACCAGGTCCTGATGGACCCCGCCAAGCGCGAGCAGTACGACCGCTTCGGCCGCGCTGCTCTGGAAGACACCTTCATGGACCCCGGGTCCTTCTTCACCATGGCGTTCGGTGCAGACCGGTTCAAACCGCTTGTGGGGGAGTTGACAGTGGCGTACACGGCGGCGGGGAACCTGACGGTGGAGGAGGTGAAGCGGTGGCAGGCGCGGCGGGAGAAGGAGCTGGCGGACGGGCTGTTGAAGCGGCTGGAGCTGTGGTTGAAGGGGGATGAGGAGGGGTTTGTGCGGGAGGCTGTGAAGCAGGTGGACGAGCTTAAAGGGGAGGCCTTCGGCATTGCCTTCCTGCACTGCATCGGGTATGTGGGATGTACTGGCAGTGAATTGGGTAGGTGGTTTTTGTATCGACCAAAAAGAGGAGGGGTTTGTGCGGGAGGCTGTGAAGCAGGTGGACGAGCTTAAAGGGGAGGCTTTTGGCATTGCCTTCCTGCACTGCATCGGGTAGGTGGTTTTCAAGTCTACTTAGTCACATCTCTATTGGGTAGTTGGTTTTCGAGTTGACTCAGAGAGAGGAGGGGATTGTGAGGGAGGCTGTGAAGCAGGTGGACGACCTCAAAGGGGAGGCTTTTGGCGTCGCCTTCTTGCACTGTATCGGGTACGTGGTGTGTCTTGGCAGGGTATCGGGTACGTGGTGTGTCTTGGCAGGGTATCGGGTAGGTGCATGTACTGCTCGCGGGCGCAGGTGCTTCTAGGCCTCACAGAGATGCTTGGCATCCCCGCACCTTCTACCCCTCCATTTCCATCACTCCCCATCTCCCCACCACCCCCACCCTCTCCCCTCCCATCATCAGCTGCACGTACTACTCACGAGCGCAGGTGCTTCTAGGCCTGACAGAGATGTTTGGCATCCCGGGCTTTGTAGGGACACCTTTTGCTCTCCTTTATACCTTACCGTGTTGTTCTTCTGCTCCTGTTCTCCTCTTATTCCCCCCTCCCACTCCCACCATCAGCTACACATTCTACTCACGAGCGCAGGTTCTTCTAGGGCTCACAGAGATGCTCGGCATCCCTGGTTTTCATGAGCGCACCCTCTGCCCATCTTTCCATCACTCCCCGTCTCCCTTCCCTCCCCTCACCCTCTCCTCCCCATCATCAGCTACACATACTACTCGCGAGCGCAGGTGCTTCTAGGCCTCACAGAGCTGCTCGGCATCCCGGGCTTCATTACCGCACATTCTGCCCTCCCCTCACCCTCCTCACCCTCCTCACCCTCCTCACCCTCCTCACCCTCCCCACCCTCCTCACCCTCCCCACCCTCCTCACCCTTCCCCGCCCTCTCCGTCCCCATCATCAGCTACACATACTACTCGCGGGCGCAGGTGCTGCTAGGGCTCACGGAGATGCTCGGCATCCCGGGCTTTTTGAACTCCACCCTCTCCCTTCCTTCTTCAACGTGTTCTTTCTTTCCCTGCACCCGAACCCTCCCCTCTCCCTCCCCCCTCTCCCCATCATCAGCTACACGTACTACTCACGAGCGCAGGTGCTGCTAGGGCTTACAGAGCTGCTCGGCATCCCGGCACTCTCTATCCCTCCCTTTCCATCACTTCCCATCTCCCCAACCCCTCCCACCCTCTCCCCTCCCCCCATCAGCTACGCATACTACTCACGAGCGCAGGTGCTTCTAGGGCTGACAGAGATGCTCGGCATCCCTGGCTTTGTGAACGCACATCTGCCTTCCTACTTATCGTGTCCTTCCTTTCCCTGCTCCCTACCCTATCCCCTATAGCCCTTCCCTTTCCCCCCATCAGCTACACATACTACTCACGAGCGCAGGTGCTTCTAGGCCTTACAGAGATGCTCGGCATCCCTGGCTTTGTGAATGCACCTCTCTCTGCCTTCCTTCTCAATGTGCACTTCCTTTCCCTGCTCCCTACCTCCTTCCTTTTCCCCCATCAGCTACACATACTACTCACGGGCGCAGGTGCTACTAGGCCTTACAGAGATGCTCGGCATCCCGGGCTTTGTGAATGCGGTGAAGGAGTCAGGGCACACCATGAAGACCCGCTACAATGCAGTCGACGCCGCACTTAAGTAAGTCTCTTACTGGGAGTCGAGCGCTTTACTTACTTTGTGAACGGAGTGAAGGAGTCGAGCCACACCATGAAGACTCGTTACAACGCTGTCGACGCCGCTCTTAAGTAAGTCTCTTACTTGGA